CGTTGGCATAAAGTCTCTTTTACCTTCCAACTTAATTTTCAGAGCAAGTAGAGACCGAGTACTAACAGGGAAAAAAATCTCAGTTTATATTGTGCAGAAATCAGTAGAATAATAATCTAAAATAATCGCTGCATCCTCTTGATAAACGTTGGGGGATATGTCAGCTTATAATGTCGTAGTAATATGTCATCTGTAACTTAACTGAAAACATTAAAATTCATTGCAAACTGTTAAATTATGCAATTTACGTCCCTCTAGTGTGTCGACATAGTATCATCATCCGCATAATGCATCAAAAAACATACCTAATGAATTATTAAAGTGTTGATTTTTATTATTTAAGATATTGAAAAACGTTCCAGATGACATATTGGGTAACATGTCAGATAGTATATCTGGTGCCATATGCTTTTTCACTACACGAACGTGTTTGCTCCATTTCCTTTGGCTGATTTAGGAGGCGCTAAAAAAAAATACTGAAACATCAAAATGGTTTTAAATAAAAGAAAATATAGCAATCACGAGCAGTTAATTTTTTGGAGACTTAGAAAACTGTCCATAATAATAGAGCAACAGTAAGGTTTCACTAAGTAACTATGCTTGTTTGATAGCCAGGATAGAGCAAATCAATTCCAAACAACAGCATGGTCACCAAGAACTTCACTAACTTCGGGTTCCAGTAATATCGTGAAGCAGCCTTTTGTGGATCCTGCCAAGATTATTTACCTCTTCTGCACGTCAAATAAGGATTAATGAAACAATTTATGAAAGCTCTCGATGAAGGATGCTGAAATTCTTGCTACATTCTTGAAGTGTCTTTAAAAATATAACTTTGATTAAATTAAGGAAAAGTATCTTTCATAGACCTTACATACGAAAAATGTTTGAAGACAAAAATTTATTAAAAGTATGAATGATATGAAAAAGACAACATAACAGTGTTTCGAATATGTAGCAATAAAATTTTTCGACTGTAACAAAGATGGAAACTATAAGAGCTCTGTAAAAAATGTAGTAGCAAACTTTAAAAACTTAAGTACTTAATGAGTTTAAAACTTTACTTTCTTGATTTGCATATTGATGAATTTTGATGATACCTTGGAGATTTTAGTGAAGAGTAAGATGAAAGATTTTATCAAATATTTAAGAATTTGAACGTAGGTGGCAAGGAAATTAGAACATTAATATGATGACAGACTATTGCTTAGTATTAAAAAAAGATGCACAACCTAATAAGGAATGACGTAGAAATTCTTTGAACAGCTCGTTCGACAACAAACGTATCTGCAAACGTTATCTAATTTTGTTCCCATGAATAAGAATATTTTTTATTTGGAGCACTAACAATTAAAAAACGGCATTCCTAGCAGTTTTTTGAGGTTACTAGATAAATCTCTTTTTTAATTTTTTAGGTCAAAATACATTGGACACATTCGATCATAATATTTTTAGAGTAATAGAAATCATTCTCTTCTCTCTATAGAGGTTTTACCACTAAAAAACTAAATTATTAACCGTTTTTTGAGATTATGTGTGGACCTTATTTATTTAATCTTGTTTTTATAAGCACAATAGGATTTCTCAGGTCGAAATACATTTTTACTTGGGTACTCTCGAAGTAAAAGATCTTTTTTCTAAAGATATTACAGCTTTTTGAGGATATCTTTGGAACTTGTAGCACGACCCCTTTTTTGTGATAAATTCTAATTCCATGGCCTTAAATTCATGTTAGTACGTCATCCTGCCAAAACCAGATATTTTTTTGTGGGCCTGTGCAATTTTTCATTGTAATTTTTTTTATCAACTAATACCATGCAGTTTATATGTACAAATTTTAATTCGTTTAGAGTATTTTTTATGTTTACAAATATTGATCGATTTAGATTTAATTAATTGGTTGGTTATAAAAAATACGTCAATTTGTTAACCTCCCAACATTCTCGAATTTTTTATTACCACCAAAATATCTCTACAGAATCAGTATGTTTACCCCACGTTATAAGATACAGCATTCTTCAAATAACTTCAATTAACGTCCTCAAATTAATTTTACTGGAATTATCTAACGATAAGCTAGCTTAAAATCTCTATCCACAAGGAATTTTTTTGTTACTTCGTAGCTTACTAAGGTAACCGTAATTTTTCACCATCGATGTAGACTAGCTTTTTTACAAACTTTTTAAGACAAAAATACAACTAAACTTTTGTAGTCAGACCATGTTAGGGCCTACAAAATACTATTCAACGGCTGCTCTATTTCTACTTCGAAACAACTAATGATGTTATGCAGGTCATAGTATCTAAACTCCCAGGTATATCAAGCTAGCTGGCCAAAACCTCATGCCACACTAGACATGAGGTCTACAATTTGTCGCTAATTTGTTGCTAATTTGTTACGTCAAAATCGATTTTATCGCTCATTTCCCTTTTTAAATAACGATGGAAACGTTAGCTTGATATCAAGTCAGCTGGCCACATATGCGTATCTTCTAGGAGATAGATAGCTCCACGGGATTTGCCAGGTAATTTGTCGCTAAAAGATTAGCCTATTGCCAATTTTGTTGCCAATCTGGAAACGAGCGAAAACGCAATTTCTACCGATCGGCATATCAAGCTAGCTGGCAACACGTGCGTATCTTCGACTAGGAGGCAGACAGCGAGACGATATTGATACTTGAATTTATCGCTCAAAAAACAGCCAAATATCGTGTCTCTAGTAAGAATGCAGATAGGTCCACAGGGTTTTCACTGTTAACGATGATGCGGTCAAGTACGTTTCTACCTAATGCTGTGATATTAAACATATGGACTTCTTCTGCAAAAACTAGCACCGTTCAGAATTTTTCATTTGAATTAACGTAAGCAGAAAACGAACGGTTCTAGTATTCGTTAGTGCGTCGATATAGTCCAAGAAAACACGAGATGGGAAGATCGACTTGGTCAGACACTTTTGTGGCTTTTGTTGTTTGGGTGTGCGTCTGTGTGTGTGCGCGCGTGTAGCTCCTGTCATTATATATATATATATATATATATATATAACAAAGTGTCTGACCAAGTCGATCTTCCCATCTCATGTTTTCTTGGACTATATGGAAGCCCCAACGAATACTAGAACCGTTCGTTTTCTCCTTATGTTAATTCAAATAGAAAATTCTGAACGGTGCTAGTTTGTGCAGAAGGGGTCCATATGTTTAATATCACAGCATTAGGTAGAAACGTACTTGACCGCATCGTCGTTAATAGTGAAAACCCTGCATCTGAATTCTAACTAGAGATACGATATTTGGCTGTTTTTTGAGCGAAAAATTCTAGTAGCAATATTGTCTCGCTGTCTTCCTTCTAGTCCGAGATACGCAAGTGTTGCCAGCTAGCTTGATATGCCGATTGGCAAAAATCGCGTTTTTGCTCGTTTCATGATTGGCAACAAAATCGGCAATAGGCTGATCTTTGAGCGACAAATTAGTGACAAATTATCCCGCAAATCTTCTGGAGCTATCTGCCTCCTAGTCGAAGATACGCAAGTGTGACCAGCTAGCTTGATATGCCGCGGCAGAAATCGCGTTTTCGCTCGTTTCAAGATCGGCAATAAGCTGATCTTTTAGCGACGAATTAGCAACAAATAATCGCAAAAATACCGTTCAGCTATCTGCCTCCCAGTCGGAGATACGCACGTGTGGTCAGCTAGCTTGATATGCCGATCGGCAATCGCGTTCTTGCTCTTTTTAAGATTAGCAATGAAATCGGCAAAAGGCTGATCTTTTAGCGACAAATTAGCGACAAATTATTGCGCAAATCCCTAGGAGCTATCTGCCTCATAGTTGAAGATAAGCATGTGTGGCCAGCTAGCTTGATATCAAGCTAACGTTTTCATCGTTATTTAAAAAGGGAAATGAGCGACAAAATCGGTTTGACGTAACAAACTAGCAACAAATTAGCGACAAATTGTAGAGCTGATTCCTAGTGTGGCATGAGGTTTTGGCCAGCTAGCTTGATATACCTCATATTCTCTGGGTAAGTTGGAACTTATATTCTCATTACTAGGCCAAATAATCAAGTGCTTTAAATATTCTGCAAGCACATGAACATTTCTTTTGGGAATTTTTTCCAGCCTGTCTGTCCGATGAGCTTAACTTACTATCTTAAATGCGGAAAGATATATAATTTTTTTTTTTTTAATAAAGAAAATTACTCTTATATTTACAGACGACTTTGACAACTTTTTTTTCCAAGTTCAATGACTAACAAGCACTTTTTTTTACACCTAAAAATAACAAGGAACTGTTTTCAATTAAAACCTTTATACACTGAACGAAAAATTGTTTTTTTAAGAGCTGCACTTGATTATTTTGTTTATTACTAGAATATGTGGTTCCAGTACTGGGATTGTAGAGTGAATTGTTTTTTGACACACTACTGCTACTCATAATATCGTTTGAAGTTTAATTACTATTCGTAGATTAAACAGCTGGACGGGGTCATGTGTCAAGAAATTAAAATTTACTTCAATATCGACTAATTTTGACTGTGTTTAAACACCTTTACACACTGATTTTGGTTTTACTTGCACATATCAGTGATCAGTTTCACACTCACTCTGGCGAATACCAATTTCGAATGCAGGTTATGGTCAATCTCTGTGCTACATTTACCAAGCTGAGTTGCTAAAGAACATCCAGAACTTGTTTGTATCAAGTGTGGTAAATTCCTTGAAAAATTAGGTTGACGTTACGTCACGTGATATCGATTTGAATAGTACTTGAGAGTTAAATTAATTTATTTGAGAGTTAAAAAAAACAGTTTGTCTGATATATCTAAAACTTTATGTACTATTGAAAATGTGCACGTTCTGTATTAACTTTAAATTAACATTTTTATGAAATTAGTTTGTTTGGTTCAAAACAATATTACTTATAAGAAATAAATAAATAAAAAAGCTAGTTTGCAGTGCAAAAAGTTTTAGTAAATATTTATTAGCGTGAAATAAAATGATTGCTAAGAAAAGTGAATTTTCTTATTGAATTGCTTTATTTAGAGCAATTTTTAACGGATGGTTCTTGATGTCATCAATTATTGATAACACGCTATGTTTTGAAAATGTTAGTATATTTGATACAGCACCATATTCTAAAAGCTTGAAAGCTGTATCATAGTAAGCGTCTTGAGGGATATCACAATTTTTCGTATCTACTGCGTAAAATAGAGCTGTTTTTCCACTTCTTTCGTCTTGTAAATTAACTTCAGCACCATGTTTAAGAAGTTCTATAATACCATTTAGATTCCCACGTTGTGCGCAATAATGAATAGCGGCGAAACCTATAAATCATTCGATAGTTAATTACTTATCTAAAAAATGATTTAAGTAAAAAGGAATATGCGTTTGTACCTTCTGAATTCTTTAAATTTAATAATGATCTATTTTCTTGACTAATGCGTTCAAAAAGTAATGGTAAAATTCTTGATGATTTTTTAGCAGCAATTATAATAGCAGAATCGTGTATAGGTTTTGACGATACTGGTTGGGCGCCAGAGTTCAGTAATAATTGTATGATTTGCGTATCTGTTTCACAGTCAACTGCCAATTCCAGTCCAGTCTAAAAAAAAATCCAACTATTTAATAAAAACAAATATCATTTGGTTATAAATTTTCATAAATATTTAAGTAGATTATAGTTTTCTCTTTTCATAACAAGTTAAACAGCTTTTAAAAGTCACAAAAAATGTCTTATTTACTTATAAACAGTGTAAATGTTGTTTAGCTTAGAGGGTGAGGGGGAGAGCATACCTATTGTTTTCAAGTTTGAAAAAGTGTAATGGGCATGTACAACTCTCTGCACTCTAGCATGGAAGAGGAAACCACATGCAAAAACTCTCACTCGCTCGTACGGCAGACTTTTGGATGGAGGATTATCTTCAAATGGCACAAGATAACAAGATACCTTAGCTTGGAATTTTAGCTTATCTCTGCTTGGCTCTCTAGAGTAGTGTATGGGAAAGCACCTCATTACAAAATGAGCTACAGAGTGATCTCTGTCTCTCAGTCTTTTGTGCTATTAGATAAAGATACAAGAACTCCTTATTTTTTTGCAACGTTAAGTGCAAAGTAAAGAAAAAAAACCACACAATCTTTCCTGATTTAAAAACCTACGTACCTTCCTATATTATATAGTTAAATGTGTGGGGCATTCCACATGAAACCACCTAGAGTAAATTGTTTTTTGTAAAAAATCAATTCGTGTATTGTAGGTTCATTTAAATAGTTGAAGATATATTTTTTAAGTTATGGGTAAAAAAATTACAATAAAGTTTTTTTATAGATATTTCAGTTCCAGACTGATTGGAAGGAAAACCACAACGCTCTCAAGCGTTAAAGTTAGTTGTAGTGCTTTTTCGTCTCCCAACATCTCCTGGTGTAACGCCAGAGACGTTAGTGTCCAAAGCACCTTCTTTTTGAGCTTATTTATTGCTTTTGTTATTAATTTTTTCAAGATAAAAACTTTACCGAAGCCATCTAGAAAGTGTCAAGAATCAGTATCCAAAATTTCAGTAAAATCAGCTGAGAAGTTTTTGTAGTTCGAGATTACAACGGTCTTTAGGACTTTACTTAATACAGTAGTAAGATAACTGCATGACATTATGCAATAATATCTTACATGCTGTGTTGGTTCGTGGTTTTTACGGCTAACTGGCTTCTCATGATACTATAAACCGGTGCCCTCACATATAAACATCTGACATTAATATGCAGTTATTGATTCGATAAGGGGATAATTTAAGTAAAAAAATTGAATTTTTCATAGTAAAAATCTAAATATTGTAGTCATTTTCGAAACAGGAATCAGTTTTATGGTTTCACAAAAAGTCTGATTAGCGATGATATTCATGGATGTTATTTTTCAATCATAATGTAATATATTATATTACACATATGTATATCATGTCAAGCATATAAGTATTTACAAATTATTTTATAGAATAATCAACACAATAACAAAACAAAGATGAACACAACTGTCTATTCACCTTATGCGCGGTGTGGAAGAAATATATAAAAAATACATAATTTCTATTGGGTTAATTTGTCACATAGTTTAAGGATTCTTCTCCTTATTTTAAGGAGAGGCGAAAGGGGGTGAATGAGGTAGGAAGCCCCTTGTAAATAACTATAGAGTACGGGAAAATGTGAGGGGAGGCATACCAAGTAAATATAATTTGGTCTTCCTTAAGGGGGAGGGGTGAGGAAGGCCACAAAAATGTGAGGGCAGACGAGTGGGAGTGTGGAGGCTATCCAAAATTTAATTGGGTTAATTTTACAGAGAAATAAAAGAAGTTTGTCTGATTTTGAGAGAGGACTGATGGGGGCAATGGGGTGGAAGAAAAATGTGAGGGGTGGCCGAGGAAGGCTAAACTAAAATTTAATTGATTCATCAAAAAAATGAAAGGGAATTTTGCGCATTATTTTGAGGGGAGCTGAGGATGAACGAGGAGAATAGAGGAGGGGAAGTACAGACAGCGAATCCTAAATAACTATATAATATATCGCTCCACCCTTCTGCGCGTTCTGTAAGCCAATTTCCCAGTACTTTAACTTAAACGGAAAATCTTTCTACTTAATATATGAAACAGAAACATACGTAAAATTGGAACTTAAGATTTTTTAAACTAACTATTTTAGATCAATGACCTCAAAAAATGTGTAACTAAAGTAAATGTTTATTTCACTAGCTAAGTACCATATCTACTCTGCTTCGAACGACATGTATTATAGATTCACCTTTCTCTCCTTGCTCTAATGTGATTTATAACTTATATCTAATTTTGATACTTGGTTACTGTTTATTAATGAATTAGATTTGATTATACATTATTTTAATTGACAAATCATTTATCTAATTAACTTTTTATATAATTTAATTTTTCTTTTTAAAACTAAGAAATAAATGTTTTTTATGTTACCGGATCGTTTGACGTATAAGTGTTATAAATTAATTATATGAATGGAGAATTGATGGTAAAACTAAAATGAGTTTCTCACTATAAATCTTTAAACAATTACTAATATAAAATTGAAAAAATTCAAATATCCATAAAAATAGTAATTGTAGTTTTATAAATAATATTAATTTCATCATTGTTTTTAAAAAATGGAGGAATTCGACAAAATTTTTCTCCAAAAAGAACTAATATATATCTGGATCTATATTTCCATATTACATATACCCCTTAAATTACTGTCGACTATTTCTAAGACTTTTTAAAAATTAATTAAAGCTCCACCTTAAATAATCAAATCATTTTCTCGTTATTTATGGTTATCGTTTTTGAATCCGAAAAACACGCTTACTGTATTGTTTCAGTCTAACGAAAGTCTGAAAGTTCTATGACTTATCAAACCTTTTGGAAGCAATACTAATGCTATGCCAGTCCAAGCCATTGGAAAATTTTTCGAACCCCGAGAAATAAAATAATAATTCAATCTTCCATATAAATAAGTTTTTCTCAAATTTCTAGCATCATCGAATAAAAAAATTACATAAGTCTTTTACAAATTGTATGACATATTTTTTTTTTATCATTAATTAAATTCACATTCAATTAGTTAAACATTTCAATACTATAAGATATTTTTTAATCCATAAGATATTGCATATATTCAATTTATTTCAGTGCAGGTAGATTAAAACATTTACATAATTTATCTTCCAGTTCTAAAATTTATACAATATATAAAAGAGTGCGATTATCTACTATTAACAAAATCTTCTGCACATACAAAAACAAATAAAAAATCAAAATCTCTGACGTAGGTTGTAACCAACAAGCAGCCCCACGTCTCGGCTTCGCCCGAGACTTACTAATTGGAACACCGTAGTGTGTTGACATATAATGTGAAACGTTTTCAGTTAGAAATTTTACATTTATTCCTGACACTTCTTAGAACAAAAATCTTCTTACTAAAAACATATTTGTTCTTAATCCATACAGTTTATTTGGTCAAATAATAAGCTGTAAGAATTAAGAAAAAAATAATCATGCTGAAAAGTACCGTGCGTTCCTTATGCCATGAAATAATCGTTAGCCATAAGGAGCGGTTGATTTGCAGTTTCTCCCATGTAATTTACGATAAGGGCTATTTTTTCAAGATGTTAAGATTTTAAACTTCCGAAAATATAGATTAAAAAAATTTTTTTTCTCTTATCTCACAACTTTATTACCAGAGCAACAAAGTCCTGGAGCTTAATCTCTACATTTTTTATTGCCACAAAAATACAATTATATTTTCTTCTTGTTTAAAAATCTAAATTTAGATCTTTAAAGATTTAAGAGATTACTGTGAGGGTAAAATGAAAAACTGATCCCTCACATAAAGAATTTGTCGATTTTGAGGCTGCTATTCCAATCTCAATAAATTTTCTGCGTCAGTTTCTTGACGCCTAAAATTGTATTTATTAGATACATTTGAAGGAAGTTTTCCTTCCAATTCACCCTCTTGCGACTTTTGGCATGCTTAAGACTTTTGTGACCCCTAAAGGCTATTTTCTGTCAACTTTTTTTAGTTCTAATAAATTTGTTGGCAAGGTAGTTCGACGTCCGATTGCCCTAAAAAAGACCGGTGAGCTTCTTAAGTAAACTCTTGCTTGACTAAAGTTTACAGCAATTGTGACTGCCTGGATAAATCAGGGTGATCTTATCTGGCCTGCTGTTGAAGACCCAGACTGATCGAGAGAAAAATTAAGTCCGAAGCTTTGGGGCTAGTTGTTGTGCTCTTTCCCAACGTCTCCTAATATAACGTCGAAGACGTTGGTGTCTAAAGCACCTTTTTTTGCAGACTCAGTTGTTTTGATGATCTAAGGTGGAGAGATTGGTTCATGATGCTTGCCCGTTGGGGACTCCCGTTGGCTCAAGTTTTTTTTTTCCTTCACAGTTGTTAGGTTAGCCCAGCGCAGACCTTGGAGAGGATAGGTGATTCCTGGTTGAATGCTTAGAGTCAAGAGGGTAATATAGGGTCGTCGGTCACCGGGGTTCCCAGCCTTGCGACGAACAACTCTGCTCGTGACGTCTACCAGTGAATGACTGACTCGGTTTAATAGTGGCCGCCCTTACATAGTCTTTTAGTCGACGAATAATGTTTCCGGAAATGGTAGTAAAAACTTATTTGTTGGCAAAGTCCTTAAAAGAACCGATGAGATTGAAGGTTAAGTACTGAACGTAAATACTTATATTGGCCCTGAAAAAGGCCAGTGGTGAAATTTCTAGTTATTCCTTATTATTCTTCATGATGGAGAGCCAGCTGTTGGTAGCTCGACTCCTGCCCTTGAAGTCTGTGTACAGAGGCCGTACATGAGAGAGATATGCCGCTGATCAAAATATATCTCGTCTTCAGGTTGTTCCCCGGATAACCAACCGCTCATCGTTAGTTGGGAAAGTGGGCCTGGAGAATACCTTCTCTGTAGGTAAGCCGTTGGAACGATCACTAAGAAGTTGGCAGTTGTAGCTGCCTGTACTGATCAGGGCTGTCTTCCCTGGTTTACTTTTGTAGTAGAATTATTCTCTGACAGCACCAGGCCAGATTGTGGTACGGCCACAAAAATAT